ACCGGCAGTATACACATCAGGATACAGCACCAATATGAAACAATCTAATAGTATTATACATAATAGACAAATTCTGGATATGGCCAGACTTGTGAGGATTAAATCAATGGAGGTGATCTTCCTATTCTTGATCCAGCCCATGCAGTTTACCAATCCAATGAATATATTCCCTAAAATCCCCATCGAAAACTCTCCAGCTGCTATGAGCATTAAGGTAGTTTCCACTTTATCCGGCATGGTAAAATACAGAAAAAAACAATTGGTTTCAAGCTGAACTGATGTAGTTTGATAGGTACACCTACTTCTCGATTTTGCTCTAATTTCCTTTGCCTCTCTTATTGTAGTCTGCCTTGTGGTGGAGACTGGAGTGAAAAATGAAGACTGTAGCTATCATCATTAAATCCTAATTAGTCTTGAGAAGCAAATGTGGTTGGCAATCCCTGGCCTGGCCACTGCATGTATCACCTGTATGTAAAACCGGGATCGGCAGGCTTTACTTTTCCACATATGGTTAATTTAGGCTGAGCTACATTTTAGGATGCAAATTAGACCCGTTCCTTTTCATGGTCCTGCATTGTCCATGTTTTGCAAGGCTATGTTTTGCAAATTTTGGATTCATTAATCTGGGACACATACTAGTAACCTCAATAGGGCTGCTAGATTTAGCAAATAAAAATACAGGACATCCAGTTAAACTTGAATTTCAAAAAAACAATACATGATCTTTCACTGAAAAAATAAATTAAAATAAAATGATCTTTTTTTTTTTTTTAGTGTATGTCCCAAATTGCATGAAATTAGTACTTCCAGGAAGTACTAAAATTCAAATTTAATTGGGTGTCCTGTATTTTATCTGGCAAATCTAAACTCCAAGGATTTTCTGGTTATTACAAAACAGGCCAAAATTGAAATTTGTAGAGGAATCTTCATTTTCCTAAATGATAATATTGATTACTGCTAAAAATCCAAAGTTTGGGTTAGCGTTGAGAACTGTACATTTTCGGGGAATCTAAAGATTAACACTAAATACAGATTATCTGGGTCTAAAAAATATTTTAGCTCATTTATCTTGGTTGTTCAGATGGAGAGTTACATGCACAAGATCTTTGAAAATAATGCATTGTCTTCTTAGTCAAGTCAATTTAATGGTCATTTAGTTTGTGATGTAATATGTAATAAGATGAAGGAGCCCTAATGGAGTATTGATTATATTTATATTTTCCCTTTTCATTTAAAATGTTCTCAAGAGCAGTGCACATATGAGAGAAGAGATTAAAATCCTGTGTTTTTATCTACTCTACACCCTCTGCCTTGCCAAATTGCATCTGAGAATCTAGATCATTAGCTTTTCTAGACTATAAGGGAAGAGACAGATGATTAAGTTTACCTCATTCTTACAAGCTACTCCTATTTTGAAGTAGCTTCTCTAATTTAGAGTTACTGAGAAACACTTTGCTATATAGAATTTCCATAGAATAATTCTGGGGTGATGATACTTTCTTTGGCTACATGGTATCTTTCCACCCTTCCTTAAAGGACAAACCTTCATTCCTGAGATGCAGCCCTGATTTTTCAACAAACTGTCTCATTATGTAGCTAGGTTCACAGATGACTGCTTTCCTCTGATCTTAGAAATGATCCCTGACCCAGGCATATCATTTTCTTCTCCTTAGTACCCTGGTAAATAAAAGGTCTCTGTAACTATGATAATACCTTTACTCAAATAAATTTTAGGATATGTTTTTGTTTTTTGTTTTTTTCAGGTCAGGTAAGTATAGATTTTCTGCAAACGTGTGTTTATAGCATATAAATTATGGTGCAGCTACTATGGAAACAGGATGAAAGTTCCTTAAAAGATTAAAAATACAACTACCACATGATCTAGCATCCCCAAATCTGGTTATTTATCTAAAAGAATCGAAATCAAGATCTCAAAGTGATATTAGCCCTGTTTATTGCAGTGTCCTGCACAACAACTAAATGTAGAAAGAGCCTAATTGCTCACTGGCATATGAATGAATAAAGAAAATGTGTTATATACAGACAATGGAATATCATTCAGTCTTAAAAAGAAGAAAATTCTGAAATATGCAAAAACCTGGGTGGACTTGGAGGACATTATGTTAAATAAGTTAAATAAGCTAGTTACAGAAGGATAAATATTGCCCAATTCCACTTATATAGGTATCTAGGATAGTCATGTCATCAAAGCAAAGAATAAAATAGTGGTTGCCAGGGCCCGAGGGGAGATAAGAATGCAGAGTTATTATTCAACGAGTATCAAGTTTCAGTTACACAAGATAAATTTATTTTAGAGATATGGTTTACAATATTGTGCCTATAGTTAACACCATTATATTTACACTTAAAAATCTGTTGAAAGGGCAGCTCTCATATTAAATACCCTACTGCAATAAAAATAAAAGTAGAAAAGAAAACCAAAAAAAAATTGCAAGAGAATGTTTTGTCACCTTACCACTTTGAACTTACTGCTTTGAACCCTTACTACTTGAACTACTTTGAACTTTGGTGGTCAGTGGAGGTGCTTCAAACCTTGAAGATACAGAAAACTAAACATGGAAGGAAGGACTTCACACTAATGGAGGGAAGCCTTCCCAGAAGTACTAATCTTACAAAACATTTTTTCATCTAAACTTGCAGAAGAATGTAAAGTTCATTCCAGTGTAGGATTAATAGGTATTTTGTAGAATATACTAATACATTCCATTAGAAGAATATCAATTCTCCTGTCTTGTACAATAAGTAGCAACTTAAATGCTAGGATATTAGAAATATGGTTGATGAAGTTTATGTACTTAAGACTGTAAATTTCAGGACTTTCCACAGTGAATTTCACATCATCATATGCAGACAAATTGATAACCTTCAGGTAGTTAATATTTTAATTATAACAAAACAAAATGAGTAGATTGAAACAGTCCAGAATTTGAAATAGCACAGGGTGGTACCTGAAATGCATAGCCATTATCAGATAGACATGAACTTAGACATGCCAGATCAAGTGTTTCAACACTACTCTAGTGAGTAGTTCACAGTAGAACAACGTTTTAGTAGTGACTTTTATCTTTTTTTGTAATTTACTTTGTATGTGTTATGGCATACATTACTCTTTTAGTGATAGCATGTAGTTATTCCATAATGTATGCTAATTTCTTCCCAATTAATTGCTTTTCTAATGTCCTGAGTGAAAAGAACCCCTGCAGGTCTTATTAAGAAAGGAGGCTGAGTAAAGCAGTCTGATCAAAATTAATTGTCCAATCTTTTTTTTTTTTTAATTTACTTGACAGACAGAGATCACAAGTAGGTAGAGAGGCAGGCAGAGAGAGAGAGGAAGGAAAGCAGGCTCCCCGCCAAGCAGAGAGCCCGATGCGGGGCTCAATCCCAGAACCCTGGGATCATGACCTGAGCCGAAAGCAGAGGCTTTAACCCACTAAGCCACCCAGGCGCCCCAATTGTCCCATTCTTTTATCCAGATTATGAAGAGCACTTAGGATTGGCCATAAAGAGAGATACTGGGATGGAACCTATTCCCATCCTATTGCTGCCTGAGCAGCAAGTTGTTTGTAAGGACATTTAATTTCAAGGAAAATCAATAGGAGGTGCCAGAATAAGGTCAACCAGAAAATACTACCTACAAGACCACCTAAAGCATCACTCACTTCGGAGGAGACAGATACATAACTGGGACACTGAACGAGATGAAACAGGGGAGATCTGCAAACTCAACACACACAAAACAGATAATCATTTCAAAAAATGGGCAGAAGATATGGACACTTCTCCAATGAAGACTTACAAATGGCTCTCAGACACATGAAAAAATGTTCATCATCACTAGCCATCAGGGAGATTCAAATTAAAACCACATTGAGATACCACCTTACACCAGTTAGAATGGCCAAAATTAGCAAGACAGGAAACAACGTGTGTTGGAGAGGATGTGGAGAAAGGGGAACCCTCTTACACTGTTGGTGGGAATGCAAGTTGGTGCAGCCACTTCGGAGAACAGTGTGGAGATTCCTCAAGAAATTAAAAATAGAGCTTCCCTATGAACCTGCAATTGCACTACTGGGTATTTACCCCAAAGATACAGATGTGGTGAAAAGAAGGGCCATCTGTACCCCAATGTTTATAGCAATGTTTTGGCCACGGTCACCAAACTGTGGAAAGAACCAAGATGCCCTTCAACGGATAAATGGATAAGGAAGATGTGGTCCATATACACTGTGGAGTATTATGCCTCCATCAGAAAGGATGAATACCCAACTTTTGTATCAACATGGATGGGATTGGAAGAGATTATGCTGAGTGAAATAAGTCAAGCAGAGAGAGTCAAGTATCATATGGTTTCACTTATTTGTGGAGCATAACAAATAACATGGAGGACATAGGGAGTTAGAGAGAAGAAGGGAGTTGAGGGAAATTGGAAGGGGAGGTGAACCATGAGAGACTATGGACTCTGAAAAACAATCTGAGGATTTTGAAGGGGCAGGGGGTGGGAGGTTGGGGGAGCCAGGTGGTGGGTATTAAGGAGGGCACATATTGCATGGATCACTGGGTGTGGTGCAAAAACAATGAATTCTGTTATGCTGAAAAGAAATTAAAAAAAAAAAAAGCCAAAGGGGAGTGACCTGACAGAGCCATAAAGGGAGCAAAATCAAGGGCCAGCAATGAAAAAAGTATATGATAGGGAAAAAAAGAAAAAGCAATTAGTGCAATTCAGTGCTCTTTATCATGGGCCTATGTAAAATCTTAAAGGAACTTAACTAGGCAGTACATGCCTAATATCTGCAGTAAGAAGGCAACAAGGGAAGTGTGAGCTCTCAAACTCTTGGAGGAAAGGACGTCTGAAGATGAGAATCTGAAGTGTACACAGACAAAGGGATATATATATTTATGTGCTAACAGGTCTCAAGAACTCTTAAAGATGTGTACCCGAAATAAACAAGATAACTGGAAAAAATGAAAATGTATTTTTATTAGCAAAACCCATTTACAAAGCTAAGATTTTACATCATGCAGAATGTTCTCCCATATCTCAGCATCCTGATAGATGCCTGCCTCAGCTTGTTATTTCTAATAATTAAAATAAGTGAATGACCAGAAGGATAGAGAATTGCTATCATTTCTCCTAACATCACAACTAACTTGCTTTCTTTCATAAGGTAGCTAAAAGTCGCCAAAAGAGAAGCCCCATAATATACAAAAAGGAGGAAGAGAAATGAAGTCATAGTTTTCATGGCTCCCACATGGGCCTCTGTGCTAGGGTCTCCGCAGCCTGTAACGCTGAGTTTCATTTGCTTGATAAGTCTCCATAGGGACATAACTCAAAGGAAAAATGAGATCAGTGACACAGTACATGGGACAACTGCCAACAGGTTAAAGAGAATCAATGAGTGGAAGTACTGACTTTTACTCACATTGAACATTTCAGTGCAGTTTCTTTTAGGATTTACAATTTTATGAAACTCACGATCATAACTTGGTGTCATTGCTAGTATAAGGCTGATCAAAGACGAAATGGCCAAACAACCCAGCAGAGAAAAAGCGAATGGGAGAAATTGGCTATCTTGAGCAAATAGAAGACGTTGAGGCAGGTGGCAAACCATGTACTTAAGTAGTTGGTGAGGGTCCAGAAGATACTAATGAATGCCTGTAGTTTATCATTTTCATAAAAATCTGGGTAGCATACCATTATGATGACATTTAGTATCAATATACAGAGCAAACAGATTCTGGAGATGGCTAGACTGGTGAGGATATAGTCAACTGAGGAGATCTTTTTCTTCTTCATCCAGTCAATACAGTTTACTAGTCCAATGTATACATTCCCCAACATTCCTATTATGAATTCTCCAGTTATAATGATCATAAAGATGTTGTCTTTCATACTGAGCATGTTGGTAGGGAGAACACCCCGATCTCCAGTATCACTGCAGACAGGCATCATCTCATCCATTATTTTGATTTTAATATAATTCCAGAAGTAAGCAGCTTTCTTTTGAAGTAGAATTGCTTCTCCATTCATGAGGACTGAACCAAATGGTTGCTCCAAACAGTTTGACTAGCTTTGAGCTCGAGCAAATTATAGCCATCACCGTTTAGTGAGTGATAAGGGAAAAGCTGGGTTGAAACTGCTCTCATACAAATTAAAAGAGATTATATTTCATGAATTTGCAACAAGGTTCTTGCTCTTAAGTTCTGTGTACTTTGACCTGTCAAGTTGAATTTTGAATACAGAGCCACAGAAAGCAAACAAAAACATGTATTCCATAAAAATCACAATGTGTAAATGAAAGTACATTTTCTTCACCATATTCATAAATTAATCAAAAGTCACGCTTCCTAGTGGAAATGAATTTTGATTTTGGAAATGATCAGCACAGCCAGTTATAGAAAGTTAACTTTCAGTCAGAGGATAATAATTTTGTTTTCATTTAAGTGGTTAATTAACGAAAGCTGTGATACAGTTCTAATTATAAATGACTGTTATTAGACAGGTACATGGCAATATTTACTAAACATTTTTTTCTCAATGGACTTTTTTTAATAAAAGTGAAAGATGCTAGATAAAGATTTGCTATGTTTAGATTTATTTATTATGGGAAATGCTGTCTGTGACAATTCACTTCCTGAAATGTCATCTCTTGGATAAGGAACATTTTCATATAAAATTAGAAAACATATTTTAAATTATTCTATTTACAATCAAACCCTTTTGTAAGATTTATAATCTCACATTCTACGTAGTAGTTATTTCTCTAGATGGAGCAATCACTTTTAAGAAAATATTTACTGAATTATATTTCGAGGGAATAGGACTAATTCTACTATTAAATTGATTTATTCTTTCTTGGGAGACCCAACCCACAATAAATTTAAATCTAAGTAATACAAATCACATAAACTAAGGTTCTTCTAACTGTATTTAAGTATTTCTATAATGTAAGAAACATATGTACTATTTTTCCTATTTCTTATGCATGCATATTGTGTAATAAGAAAGCATGAAATTAATAATTTAAGGAAACCTAGTTGTCCTTAAAATGTTACAAGAAACAGAAAAGAAGAGAGAATGATGCTAAAGAAAAAAAAGACATGTCAAAGATTCTTGAGTAAAAAAAAAAAAGAAAAGAAAGAAAACATTCCAAAGAATCTTTGAGAACTGACTCCTAAAACTGGCTAGAGTGGTTTTGATATGCATATTTCAAAGTGTACACTCCTTGTCCCCTTTTCTGGTCAAACTTTTCTTGAGATTACCCCCCTTTTTTTACATTGTATTTCACCCTAGAGAGGATCTCACCAGAGTGTCCTTTCTCCCTCCATATGAGGATGAACCTTTTTAGAAATGGAGAAGACAGGGCAGAAAAGATAAGTACTGACTTCCAGCACAAAGTAGACAGGTTTTACATGATTGATTTTATAGGAAGGACTAATATATTTTAAAATCTCTTCCCCGCCCCCTATTTGCCTAAAATTCTTCTACTCTTTGAGTTCAAGGCCTTTACTAGATATGACAGAAAGAAGTAGAATCTCTTTGCATTTAGGCAATGATATGAAATGTTAGCATGGGGTTTGGATTCATTTTTTCCTGCAAAGGCAAGGAAATATACGTGGCTCAATAACATTGATTTAAAGTTAAACAAGACAGAAATGTGAAGGGACACAAAGGAAAATTTAGGATAATCATAGATATAGATATTAATGATTTCTAACAGCATCTATAAAAACTGAATATAATTAATTGGGAGAAGGGAGAGGATCTTTTGTTGATTTCTTTCTCCTTGTATTCAGGATTCTCTGCGGAACAAAAGGTTTCCTTCCTTTGTGGAAACTCTTCACAACACCTAGCACTTTCAGAAAAGCCTCCCTTAGTTTGCTATTCCCCATTATCAGGATGAATGAATGGCTCGATGGGAAAATGACAGCTATCATGCCACCAAACATCACCACTAATTCTCCCTGAGGAATCAGTAAGCTGGAGGTTACTATAAGAAAGACCGCATAGTACATAAGGAAGAGAAGCAGAAAGATGATCACTGCCTTTATGGCCCTCATGTGGGCCTCTGTGCTGGGGTCTCTGGACCCTGTGGCATAAAGTTTCATCTGCTTGGTGTGTCTAAATAGGGAGAAAAGTAATAAGAGAAATGAGGTTAGGCAAAGAACAAAGGGAATGATAACACCCAGGTTCAGGATAAGCAGTCTGAAAGCACCTGGGATTTTACTCTCTTTCAGTTCCCAAGTTATGTTTTCCTTATGATTGACTTTGAAGAGATCCCAGAAGTCCTCATTCATTGAAACACTAGTGATGATACAGCTAAGGAAGGACATCAGAAAAATCCCCAGGATGACTCTGTTAATATTTAGTTTCAGCCAGAGGAAAAGCGGATGGGATATATTGGCTATCTTCAGTAAATAGAAGATGCTGAGGCAAGAAGTAAACCAGACACTTGAATGATTGCTAAATGTCCAGAAAGCATCCACAATGCTCATTAACTTGCCACTGGCATATGTATCTGGAGAGATGCATATAAGAAAGCCATCTAAAGATATCACACACAACAAACAGATTCTGGAGATGGCTAAGCTCACCAAGATGATGTCAATCATGGAGATATCTCTCCTTTTGATCCAGCCAGTACAGTTAACCAGTACAATAAATCCATTTCCCCAAACTCCTATAGTCAGTTCACCAGCGATCAAGATGGTATATATTACCTCCATTGTACTTAGCATGTCAGTGAAGAAGAGTGTATATGTCTGTCACTTAGGTCATGCTGCAGTTGTCTCTTCTGTCCTCTTTGTCGGCTTTGATCCAGGTCAATGAGATTGCCAGTTCTGCTCCAGTGAGAACTGTCTAAAGACTTCATTGATTGGCCAGTAATGTCTTTCACATGCAGTGATGCTTGAAAGTCTCCAAGATGCAAATAGGATTGGATCTGATTTCTTGGATTTGCAAAATCTTCTTCATTTTATGCTCGTGTATTTTGGAGTCATTGAACTTAAGCTTTTGACAAGGAACTTCAAAAAAAAATTAATTACTTGGAAAATATGGATCCTATTTAATTTGGAGATGTGGCAGCATTACCATCTCTGATGAAGGTACCCCCAAATTATGGTTCATTTGGTGCAAATGGATGCTTTGGAGCTGAAAAATAATTGTGTATTTAGAGTGTAGACAGTTAACATGACTAATTTCAGCCTTGTAGCAATGTATTCACTTCATTAATTAGGATAACTCAGGTAAGGAAGCAGTGGTTTTCAATTTTCTTATAAAGACAGTTACTTGACTTTCCAGTTCTTTCAGCCTATGATAAGGAAGTCTGAGCACTGAAGATATTCAGGTTGTGTCTGTTATTACTCAGAATTTGACCTCAGAATCTATATTTGTATGTAGCTTACATTAGAATCTGAGTGCAATCTTCCTTACAATAATCCCTTATAATGCTTTTATGATAATGGATAAGACAAAACATATTGAATCACATTTTTACTATTTGTATACTTTTTTTATTTGTATACTTTTCACGATTTAAAACACATAGCATCTAAATCCAGAAAACAATAAACCAAGCTATATTAATGTTCTCCTGTACTGACTTTAATAGTTCACCAACTTAACATGTATGCTGGAGGTTACTAGGCTTTGCTCTGACTGGAGAAGCTGCTCTGTCAGAGGGAAAGGACTTGAGGTGATGATCTCAAGCAAACATCCAACATCATTTGCACATGTGTTTTAAGAATATTGGTGACAACAGATACTGAGTATCAGGACTGCAGATGAAGAATCCCGCCCATTGGGTGAGTTAGGATTCAAGTATCATTTCATATATTTAAAAGCTATTTGAATATTTTTGGTAGACTGTTTATATTTTTGCTCATTTTTCTACCTTTTTATAAATTTCTGTGGTGTTTATATATTAGAGAAATTAGCATATTTGTATCGACAGTATTTCCCCACTTTGTCATTTGTCTTTAGTTTTTTCTTGTATTTTATAAAATGCAAGCAGAAGTTTTTAAATTTCATATAGTTATATTTATCAGTGTTTATGAGTTCTGGATTTTGATTTATTGTTAGAAAATTTCTCCATTGGAATTTTCTGATATTTTCTGTTACTTTCATGGTTTGCTTTTTTTCACAATAAAAATTTTTTATAAGTAACTTGGCAATATATACATGGCTATATGGTCAACTGTGGATCCAACTTGATTTATGGAATCAAGATGGGTATCCACTTGTTTCAATAATATTGATTTGGTAATCCATCTTATACCCCTGCTTGAGAGGCCACCTTTACTGAAATAATTTCCCTTATGTATTTGCAGATCAAGTGGCTACTGCTCTTGACTTTTAATGCATTAGTAATGACTAAAAGGATGGTGAGTGGTGTAATTATTTCTAACTGCATAAGGAGAACTGATGACAATTTGAGATTTTACATTTTCGACTCATGACAGTCTGAAAACCAGAAATCTATGGTGGCCCTGAAAGATTCATTTCTTTATAGTGGTAAGTCAGCTCTAAAAGTTAATTGTGGACATAAGAGAATTCCTATATAAGATGTAGTCACAGAATCATGATGTTTCGTCAAATGAAATTTAGAGCAATGATGGGAAAAGAGTAGGACCATAAAACTTGGAATGAGGAGATCAAGTTACACTTGGATCAATAAACCTGAGAATCTCAAATTTCCTTTCTGGTGGAAGCAGTCCACCCTCCCACATCAGAGGAAATCAGCCTTGTTTTGTTTCAAAACCATGTAGTAGCCTCACCTGGGAAAGTTAGCATGCAAAGAGATGCTTATTTTCCTTAAGATCCACCTCAATCACTATTTTTGTCTCTAGACCCATAACCAAAGTCATACGCAGCATGTTCCAGGCAATGGAGGGAGGAAAAGG